CGGGTTGCCCGCGGAGGAAGGGATGAACTTACAAACAAGATGCCTTTTTCACTCCTCCACACCATTACTCTGTAGTGAAGGCTGTTTTAAAGCTGAAACTAGCCGGGTGTGGTGGTTCACGCCTGCAATCCCAGCACTTGGGAGGCTGAGGCAGGAGGATCGTTGCGAGTGTGAGACCAGCCTGGGCTACAAAGTGAGCTCAAGGCCAGCCTGAACTGCATAGCGAGACCCTGTCTCAAAGAGACAAATAAATAAATAAAAATTAAAGAAAATAAAGCTGAAACTAGTACGAGGCTCAAAGATAGCCTTGACTGAGAAGGCCCAGGTGAGATTTGGACCCTTGCCACAATCCCAAGACTTGACTTTCCCAGCTGTGGTGATAGGCCCTGAGGCAATGATTTTTTAAGTGTTACACTGGAATAGTCTAGGGGAGCTTCAATACTTTAATGGGGCACTGCCTAGTTCTTAGCTAGTAATTCCTTTTGTAGTTTTTGTTTTTGTTTTTTGGTTTTTTTGTCTGTTTTTTTTTTTGAGACAGGATCTTGCTCTGCAGTTCAGGCTGGACTTGAGCTCACTTTGTAGCCCAGTCTGGCCTCGAACTCACAAAGGATCCTCCTGCCTCAGCTTCCCAAGTTGCTGGGATTACAGGCATGCGCCACCACACCTGGCCTCCTTTTGTAATATGTAGGTGGATTGCCTTATGCCAGCAATATCCATAGATTCTAAAGCAACTCTTCTACTCAGACTTCCCTAGGAACTGGGACACTACATCTCAGGCAGAGCGCAATGGGAAAAAACCACCTGGTGAAGGTGACAATGAGTTTTTTAATTATGACAGTGCAAGACTTTCCCAAGTTCCAAATGTAAAATAGCTTCTACTTAGCACCAAGCTTATGTGCAATGTGTCAAAGGTAATTGCTAATACGGTTTAATTCTTTAAAAATCCACTCAAAATGCCTCCAGATATTGGCCATTCTATCAGTGTATTCAGTTTCCTGGGTTTGCTATTGGTCTTCCTTTACAATCTCTCACTAATACTCTTTTATTTTTTTTTCTTTTTGTCTTTTTAAGGCCATGTCTCCCTATGCAGTTCAGGCTGGCCTTGAGCTCACTTTGTAGCCCAGGCTGGTCTCGAACTCTCAATGATCCTCCTGCCTCAGCCTCCTGAGTGCTGGGATTACAGGCATGCGCCACCACCGGCCCTCACTAATAGTCTTGGAAGAGGCAACTCATTGTAATTAATTAATTACACTGAAAACATATTCAGGAAACATCTGAGCTGGAATGTAAATCCAGCTCAAGTAATTAATTAACTAATTAATTACTTGTTTTTCTTCCTTTACTGGAGACTAGAATTAAAGCTTATTGTGCGTAAAGGACATTAAATCCTAAAAGGACCATGGAAGTTGGAAGATGTCAAACAATTTAGCTCTAGTTTAGCCTTACTGCGTCTCCTTAATAGCCCATTAAGTAAACCCATCTCCAAATGCAGATGACCTACAGACTTTTCTCCACCCTGTACACTTGTACTGAATGGATAATAGGTTTTGTATAGGATGTTTCACCAAGGTTTTGATTACCAGGAACTAAAAATACAAAAATAGATTTTAAAAATAGCGGCTGCTTTTTTTCCCCCCAGTACCAGGAATCACACTCACGACCTTGTGCTTGCCAGGTAGGTGCTGTGCCGCTGAGCGAAACCCCCAGCCCAGTGTCTGCTTTTGAGTATCTCATAATTTAGAAAGGGAAGCAAGCAGAGCCGAAAGAAGGAAAACAGTTATAGGCAGACAGTTACAATGAAATGTGAAAATAGATATAATAAGGAGAATATTGTAGGGACCCAGAAAAAGGAGTGACATTGTGTCAAAGGAACGACACAGGTAAAACTTCATGGAGGAAATGAAAAGCTTTAATTTAAAGAATGAGTGGGCCGGG